GGGATGGGCATGGTTTGATATGTTGTATGGAATAATCACTCTGATTGTAGTGTGGGAAAATCTCTGGAGGAGAAATAGGACCTCTAGCAAAGAGTTTATTCTAATAATACAGGTAAAAGATGATAGTGGCCAGATAAAAGCAGTAGCAACAAGGAGATAAGAAACAGAAAAATACAATTATGAAACAGTAAACAAATAAGTATCTGGGAAAAGAGAAGACTCTAAATTGTGGACCTGGGCAAATGAGTGGATGACAGTGACCCCAAATTAACTATGAATCACAAGTTCATAGTAGGCTGAAAGAGAGATAAACATAATTATTGATGTTCCAAATTCCAGGTGCTTTTGTGTTGTGCATTGAGATTTATCCAAGAAGCAATTCAACGTGTAAGTCTAGCACTCATTGGAGATATACATAATGAATGTATAAAATATAGTTTGGGGCACATAGATAACTAAAGTCATGGTAATGGATGAAACCACCAAGGTTGAATATATAGGAATAAAACAGATGAGAGCCAAAGCTAGAGTCAAAGAAATTGGCCTTTCACAATAGAAAGGGAAGAGTCCATGAAGGAGAATAAGAAAGAGTAGCCATAGAAGTAGGAGGAAAAAAAACAACACTATACTCTTTAAAGAGAGATTATAGAAGAGAAACTTTCCAAGGCAGAGTGGCCAGAGACGTCAGATGCTGTAGAATTCGTTTACTAGCACTAGTTAGTGTCAGTCAATTTCAGTTTAGGAACTAAGATCTTTACGTGAGCCTGAAATTATTTCAGTGGTGAGATGAGAAGGCTATTTAATGGGTACATGGGAGCAAGATGAAGAAATAGAAATGAGGAGTGTAAACAATGTGCTTTAAAAGCTTATCAAAGATAGAACGGAAGTTATCAAGGGATTTGGGACCCCACAGATTTTACTTATTTAAGATAGGAAAGTCATGACCAACTTCAAATATTAATGGGTAAAAGCCAACTAAGGAGAAAATGAAGACACTGGAGAAAATTCAGAGGCAGAGCAAGGAAACAAGTTTAGAAGGAAAGTAGATTTAAGCAAAGAACAAAACACCACTTCCCTGCAGACAGAATCAATGTCAAAGGGATGGAAAAACATGCAGGCAAAATAGTGAATAGTTTGGAAGGACACTGAGGGAGCACCAAATTGAGGACTTTCTTTTCTCTGAAAATAGGAGGCTATCATCTCCTAAGGGTAAAGTGGAAACGGAACTGAGATTTCTTCCTGTCATATTGTGCAACTGGGTCCATTTTACATTAGTTGTAAAATTTATCTTCAAGTGACACAATATATTTTCAGGTATCACACGGAAAATGTAAAAGGCTAGTGGTGGTCTAAAATTAATGGTGGCAATGTCATGCTTTTACTGCAAAATCTCTCAAAATTAGTATTAAAAGCTCTAAAATTAAAAAATAATAATAATAATAAAATTCCACAGCAGTGTTTTTGGTGGAAGTGACTTCAGTTAGTGTTTGTCATGAAAGACTACACATCATGTACCAAACATTGTTTGTCATTAGAAGACAGATGAAAAAATAAATACATTCTTCATGATTGATTGAAACAAAGAGCCCAGCAGACGGATGTCATCCAAGTTCAATATACAGCCTGCAGACTGCTCTGTGGCTCCAGCTGAGTTGATCAGGAGACCATGTACATCTATTTGGTTGCTGACTTTGTTGCTTCTCAACTTTTCTTTTTATAATGTTTGTAAGAAATAAATCACTTCCAGCCACTTCAAATCCTCTTAAAAAAGAAAGCTGAAATCCAACTTCGAATTCCCTTTATTTCTTATTTTTCTTAACTCCAAATCAAAGTAAATCCTTTTCTCTAAACAACATTCCATATTACATTTTTGTTTCCATGTTTATTATTTGCCATTGTTTTTAAACTCTTTTCCTAAAGTGAGAAAGATGTTCTTTTCTCTTTTTTCCCTCACTTGATTCTTCCAATGCCTAGTTTAGTACCTTGAAGCACTTGTTGCAGGAATGATTGTTCTGTGTTAAATATAATTCTGTTTTAGGAAAATTTTAATTTCAAAGCTATTTACGCACTAGTCTGAAACTTGTCTTTTCCTTATAGAGGTGTCTTAGAGCAAGCATATCACCCCAATTCCTTTATTATGCAAACACAAAAAAAAGAAAATATTGACCTAAAGTACTTGGTTTCAAATTGAATCATTTCTATTATAAAGAACCACCATGTTTGCTGAGTAACAGACAAATAGCTTTTTTATTTTTATTTATTTATTTATTTTTAGTATTGGAGATTCAATACTAAGCAGTTAATCTCTGAGCTACATCTGAAGCCTTTCCCCTTATTAATTTTTTTCTTTCTTTTTTTTTTTTTTTTTTTTTTTTTTTTTTTGAGGCAGAGTCTCACTAAGTTGTTTAGGGCCTGGCTAAGTTTCTGAGGCTGGCTTTGGACTTGCAATCCTTCTGCCTCAGCCTCTCAAGTCACTGGAAATATAGGAGTGTGCCACTGTGCCCAGTGAAGCATTCTTTTTTTTTTTTTTCTTCTTCTTCTTTTTTAGGATCCCATTCTTGTGGTTATACATGATATGAAGTTTCACTGGTTGTGTATTCATTTATGAACTTAGGAAAGTTATGTCTGATTTATTCTACTGTCTTTTCTATTCCCATCCCCCTTCTCTTTCTTTCATTCCCCTTTGTCTAATACAGTTCTCCCACACCCTTTATTTTGTGTTAGCATCCACATATCAGAGAGAACATTTGGCCTTTGGTTTTGGGATTGGCTTATTTTACTAACCATGATAGTCTCCAGTTCCATCCATTTACCAGAAAATGCCAAAATTTTATTTTTTGGGGTGAGTCATA